TTAGAACGGTTACAGAATAAAGCTTTGAGAATAATCTTAATGCGTCTTCAGCTAGTGTTTGAAATTGTTAATAACCACCGTTGTCCTACGCAACTTCAGAGTGATATGAATTTCAGATCAGAACTTTGTGGCAGGTCATTAAGAGATAGCCGAGAAATTCGCCTGCCTAATTTAAAATCTGCTATGGGCCAATCTACATTTAAATTTGCAGCAGGAAAAGAATGGAAAAATTTACCTAAAGAATTTCGGGCTAAAGACATTAAATTTAAGAACTTTTAAGTCAAAAACATTCCAGTATTTGTTAGAGCAAGACAGAATACAGCATAAATGTAGAATTCAGTTAAGAGTTGTTTTTGTTGTAAACAAATTTTCCCTTTTAGTTTTTAATATTTTTTTATTGCTAACATTATTTGAAACTTTTTTTCAACTGCACATAGGTTTATACCAGCTGTCGTTATATTTAAATTCAGCTGATCTATTTTTTGCAGTATAAATAAAGTATTCATTATTTATTATTTTACCTAAATCCCTATGTCAAATTTAAGTTTACAGAGCTGGCTACGAAGAATTTTGAAATAAAATGAATTGCCGAATTTTTTACGACCTCTAAATGTTAAAATCCGAATCACTTTTTGAAAGCTCCAAATCAAATTAAAGCGAATATTTTTTTTCGCTTATTTAATTTGTCCCTCAGTTTCCGGACATGAGGTGACCAACAGAAGGAAGGGAGGAATTTAAAAAGGCAAGTAGATGCCAGCTTCCCTTTGATCGATGCGATAGGAACACAGTTTGGGAAATCTTGAATAAGGTTAGCAATAGGGGGCATGTTCAGGAGTCGGCGGAGCCAGGGACATCTGTCACCAAAAGAAGGAGGAGCAACAGGCCAGACAAGACTGCTCATTTCCACGTAGGTGTTTAGTCTACTGATCATCAGAGCCGCTTTTTCCCAAAATTGGTGGCGGTCTCTTGCTGGCTCAATAAGTTTTTTGACGACTGGTGAGACCAAAAGGCTATGGAACTTGGTATAAGGAGCGTTACAACATATATAGCGCACACGCTGGTCCTACCTAATTCCTATTGAGACTTCATTGTAAAACTCTCTATTTACATGACGTATGCAGTTTCATTTTAGCCGCGGCTCGAACAACTATTTCGCTTCTCTCGTGCTCTCCCAACTTTCCTCGCGCATCCATTACTCGATATACGCACACTAAACATGAACCAATTCTTTACTTCAAAAGATTGATATTAAGATTTTAAACTGAAAATTATTTTCGCACTTCTTCCGTAGTAGGTACTGGGCGTTATGTTTAGCCTTACTAATCAACAATGGCCTGTTGGTCTAGTGGCATGATTCTCGCTTTGGGTGCGAGAGGTCCCGGGTTCGACACCCGGACAGGCCCTTTTGGAAGGCTTCTTTTAAGATTTCCAGTTAGACCTCAAAAAGAAGAAGGGAGATTTCTATTTTAATTTCAAGACGTGTTGTTTATATTGTGTGCAAAGGAACTCCTGGCTCAATTTGATCTTAGGTGCGTCAATATGTTTGCTCAACTTTACGATGGGAAGCGACAAAACAATAAAGCGTTGTCTTGTTTTGTTATTTGTCTTTTTTATCACTACTACTTTTAAGTTAAAACAGCAATACTGGTAGAAAGAGTAGTCCCTAATTGCGGAACGCAAATTAATTCTCTCAGCCCAAAAAATAAAAACAAAGTAACATGGCAGAGGTGAGATAAAGTCTGCATCACTGAGGCGTGTGCNTAAGACGCTAGTCCATAAAAGGGTTATCACTAGCCTGCCCATGTACCCATTTGTACACCTGGGTGGAGAGGAGCACTATAAGAGTACAGTGTCTTGCCCAAGAACACAACACAATGTCCCCGGCCAGGGTTCGAAAACAGCCTCTCAGTCCGGAGTCGAGCACACTAGTAACCACGACGGCGACGACGAGGACAACGTCGGTTAAAAGATGATTTTATATTTTACCTACGAGTCTGGCGATACTCTAAAGTTATTTACTTTGTTTATCACTGTCAAAAATATCACAAAACTAGATCTGGAACACAGCAGTAAATTTGAAATAGAAATTAATAAAATTAGCCGTCGTGGTTCACGTTCTCCAGGCAATGCAGAATTTGGTCATTTCACGTTGTCGCTTTGCAGAGGACGGCAAAGAAATGTAGCAAGAATATTAATTATAACGCACGTGCACAACCACTGTCGCGCTCATTAAATCATTTGTTTAGTGACGTTCCCGTTCTCTTTGCGGTCGCGGTTTTCTTAAATTCCCATTATCATGAGGCCTCCTAGTTATTATCATTCTTTTTTATATATTTCTATTAGCTATTATTTCATTTATATCTATAATTTACTCCTTTTTACTTTGTTTATTCTCTCTAAAACGTCTTTTTACAATAATTCAATACAAATTAGCAGTGCCTTTAAGGTACTTTAACAACTCTTAGTTATTGTAAGTTTATCTATACACACTCTTGTCACTCTTCTCCGTTTTATTTAGTATATTCCATTTTCACTTAATGTACCTGGACTGGACAAAAATGACGAATTGGTTTATTCTAACAATACATGTGGTAATTGCGACCCTGTTTCTACAAAATACTTACTTAATGCTCAAATCTAGTTCGAAATGCTTGGAGAACAGCAAACTAATTTACTGCAGCAGTCTATTTAAGAATGCGTTTTCCATCTGAGATTGCCTAACTGAATTCTCACACGCATTTACAAGCACAACTGATTGCTTTACAATTAACTAACCCACAAGAGTACTTCATGGATTTAACATCAAGTTGTAACGGTGTATAAGACGAGTTATATCCGGATGAGCGGCGGTACGACGGCGACGCCGAGGACAACGCCTAGTTATAAAATGGAGTTTACAATATATCTTTGAATTTTTGCAATTATCTAGACCTGTTCAGCCCGCCGATCGGTCTAAAAACTTGCTCAAATTAAATATGTAACGCCTGCGATCAACTTCTACAGAAGAAAATACGAAACATTGGCCGTCGTGGCTGACGTTCTTTAAAATACAACATACCCAGAGCTTGGCACTCTCACATAAAAAGGACTGGGTAGGAGTTCTTTTCAAAATATCCGACGACCAAGGGGGACCAAGATCCTGGTTTGTGGGCGTCGCTTGAAATTTTTTTCACCCGTAAGATAGGCACCAATTCTGAGAGCAAAAAAATATATCGGTTGAATTTCAAATATCTCCTGCCATAGTGTTTTTTTTTTCGGCTGAATACCATAAAAGGCACCGCAAAAGTTCTTGTTGTGGACCTTTTGAAGCTGAACACCCTTAGAGGTACCAAAACCACTTTCTTAACCCCTAAAAGGTACGACGAGCACCCCCCCCCCGTCCTTTTTGTATGGGATTTCTCCCCCTACCCTCCCCCCGGGAGATTAGGCGACTTTTGTTTGAAAGAAGACTGTTAACCTGTAGTTTTACGTTGCCTTCAGATGATGTTTTCGAAGTAAACTTAGTAAGAGCCTCTGTGTTTGCAGTGGCACTTAAGAATCCTGACAAAGCCTTTCCTGAACTCGTCGTTCATGCCAGCGTAAAGAATTGGGTTGACACAGCTGTTGACATAAATCATGATACTTCCAAACGTGAGAAATTTGTCCAGGTGAGGCCAGCTGGCACCTGAACCAAACTCATACCACAACCACACCACCTGATTGGGCAGAAGACAAATGGCGTAGAGAAGAACAACTGCAACCAACATCTTCACAATCTTTGTCGTTCGCTTCAGGCGCTTTTCTTCTTGGCGTGCGTTGGAAGGTTTGTTAGTCGAGGAATCTTTGGGGCACTTCTTTAACGATGTTTGAGCGTAAGCAGCAGAGGGTTGATCGCTGGAGGGCGGTTCGCTTTCTTCAGGTTCCTCGATGTACTTGTTAGAAGCATTCTTAGCTTTGTTGTAGGCGCTCTCGGAAATCCCACTGGCTTGTCGGTTTCTCGCTAAGAGCGACGCCTGCTCGCGCAGCCTTAACGCGACCATCGAATACGCAAAGCCGATGATTAAGAGAGGAAGGGCATACTGGAAGATAAACAAGCCCATGGTGTACAGTTTCACAGCAAGAGCTACGGGCCAGTCCTCTACACAGTTACCATCTTGCATCTTCAGCGCCAGTATGTAGGGCAGCACTAACAGCAGAGACATGAGCCATGTTGAGCCAATAATGATAGTTGTTTGGGTCGTAGTGAAGCGTGGTTTCCATGGGTATATCACAGCCCGGTACCTAATAAACCAAATTATCGTGTTATCAGGGCTGAAATCATGGCTTCGCTATTAATACCGCATTTATATGTAATATCGACGTCTTAATCTAATTTGCCCAAAACAAATGACAGCTTGTTTTGCTAGAGAAGATGATATAAAACATAAGAATGATATTTATCTTTCTCACTAAGCGAAGGAAGGGTTAACTTTGAGGAAGTGTTGGTGATGATTAACCAATCGAAATTTGAAGCAAATAAAAAGTAAATGGCAGAAATCCCTCAGTCATTCAGAAAAATGGAGTTCAGTTAAATAGCTAAGTAAGAGTAAGAGACTTTATTTTATGAGGCTGACACGTAACAGTAACTAACATTACTGATCAACTTGTGGCCCTCTAAAAAGTACAAAAATACTATTATTTTTTCGGCAATGATATATCGAAAGGACATTTTTCCTATGATTAGTAAAAAGCTTATATTTTAAGCTCTTAAAAATGAGCACAAAATTGCTTTGGAGGTCGTTGCAAAATCGTGTTGGTCATAAAATTTCAAAACCTACCGATCGTAACTGATTGCTGCAAGAGTGGCAGCGGAGCAGTTTGTGAAGAGCGTCATAGCGGGCCACAACAGTTTACACATAGCAGCACCAAGAGGCCACACAGGATGGGTCACTTTCAAGGCGATATCAAACGGAATGCACAGCAACGCCACCATCAGATCAGACACCGCCAGGTTCACAAGGAGAAAGTTACGTGTTGTGCGCATGCGTGGTGTCTGTGAAATTACCAGGCAGACGAGAGTGTTTCCGGTCACACCACAAAGGAAGATGATGGCAAAGAAAGTGTATTCTGTTGCTTGGATACCAGTCATCGCAGTGTCGGTTAAATTTGTCATCAAGGTGTTTACAGAAGTGTGATTGCTAAGGAATACGAAACTTTATATTTACAGATAAAAATATGGCGTGTTTTCTGAGGAGACTATTTCAGGAATTAAAGAGAATAGTAGTTCCTTTCGATGTCCAATGATGCTTACAAATCACTCGAATCAAATCACTCAAGCCTTACAAATCACTCGAAGGTATCTGTAAAAACAAGAGACGTAGGAATTAGTTTTCTCTAACAATTCTGATAAAGAGAAACTGGATTAAATGGAACAATGACAGATTAATACAGATTACTTCTTTCAGAGGTTACAGGAAGTTTAGAGATATGGGAAATCATCTCTAGTTACGTAAGCATTTCAGGCAGTTCCAAAAAATAATAAAGCACATGAAAATAATTCAATTCAGTCTTTCACGGGAGTCGAACCTGTGACCTATCCGATATCGATTTGCCTTGCAAAAAAATTATCCAGTCTTAAATCAGGAAAAACAAACACATCCTACTAAGAATTATAAGAAAACCTTTTCGCTTTTTAAGTTTATCCAAATTTGAAAAAAATAGCTGTCACGTTTAAATGTAGTATCCATATTTTCCATCTATATTTTATTACGATACATTTTTAACTGTATTATAACTACACTTATGAACCGTTCTTCATTTCCAAGCCAATGAATAGATTTTAGACGTTGCAACGTCGACCAAGAGCTGATCGATTATTTAGCAATGAAAAATGAATAAAACTTTTTGTAACTGCACAATATCAACTACTTCACCTCATAACCTGATTATGATTAACTTTAAATGCACTTACACTTCACTACAACACACCCACCACATTCCCACTCTAGGAAATTAAACGTGCTAATATTCACGCGAGAGTGTGTTTTAAATGAACGAGCAACAACTCATACTTCACTGGCGATGCTATTGTCTACTTCTATGAGTATCTTTGTGTTATTTATGTTTATTGCAATTCATGGTGCTAAAATAATCATATGCGAACACAAAATGATAAATTCTTAAATCAAAAATAATGAAAAACAGGCCAAGTAATAATCTGTAAAAGAGTCCAGGACCCCATGTAAAAACGGATCACCGAATGGATTAGAAGTACATATTGTATCTAAGTAATACTAAAAGTGTAAAAAGTTAAACTGTTTTAGCTCCTAAAACTAATTTATTTTCTTCTATTCCGTCACTCGAGACAGCAAAAGGCTTGGGGCTTCAATTTTGTGATCAACCGTTATTAATCTGGAAGTTATATTAGTATTCTCTAAGGTTTTTGCAATCTGATCTTTATTTTTTTTTCTTTCTGAATTTTCGGTGGCTTCTGTCCACCCTCGTCAGAAAATTCAGAAAAGAAACAGATCGGATAGTAAAAACCTTAATTAGAGAATGTCTATCAGCGATCGCAACACTGGAAGCAGTATTTATATCCTAAACAACTTAAAAACATTTTCCAACTAAAACACCCCCCAAGTAGTCGTTAGTCATCGCATTTAGTAATACCCTGCTTTGCAATCCTGGCTTTCCACGGTTTCAAAATGTCAGTTCAATATTTTCCATGCTGCCACTTAATATTAGTTCTGAGAAACATCGAGACTACATTCCATCTAGTTAGCGTTCTCAGGTTGGCCTTATCCTCTTCATATGTCCTTGTATTGACTTTATACTGAGCATTGATGTGCTGTAATACGAAATTCGTTTGTTGAACATTATTTGGCGTGTAAAGGTTAAGGAGAATCATCGCTCTTTTCCACGTTCAGTGTGACAGAAATGCAATATAATAAACGTGGATTTGTGCAATCCATCCACAGACAGCATACATGACAAAGCTGTCATATTCAGGAACTAATTTTGAACCAAACAGAACAACAGTATTCGATTCTCCACAGTTACCTGTGCGTCTAAATTTGGTGTAATTTCAAACGATGCACCTGTTTTTGAAACTAATAGCAAATACACTAACTATCTAAAAACTAACCATGTATGAAATTTCACTAACAAAACACACCGTATCGTGAATCTTCCTATTTACCCTTTTCTGAGCTTTTCACACGTACATAGTGATTAGCATTCAAAATTCCATTTTGTGTTGATTTGGTACCTCAGCAGTTGTCTTCGCTAAAGCGACATTTCGCTGTGCATATCTTCAAAACACTGGTCATATCTTTGAAAACGTTGTGGTATTTTTAAAGACTTAAAGTCGCTAAACCCTCTCAAGATGTATGTATCTCTTAGAGCCTCGATCATGTTGTAAATTAAAAAGCCAGTTTCATCCTTATATGATATATACGTTATGTCAATCAAATGTGTCAAAATCGAAGAATTCATTCAGATTTCTATCAAACTTTGCCATTATTGTTTTCTGAAGTAATATTAAAAGCGAGTAGTGCACAGATAAAGCTGTGCTTCTTTCATTTTCAATGTTTTTTCCGGGTTTCTTAATTGTTTTTGTAAGATTAAAACTTCCTCCATTGTGAGAAACACTTCAAGACTCCTCTTACATAATAAATTAACATTAGTAAAAGAGACAAAGCGGTCGAATTTATCATAAACAAGGTAACCGGAAAAATGAACAACATAAATTTCGAAGGCATTTCTGGTTTATATTTCAACGTAATGACAAATAAGTTATCGTAGTAAGTTAGCACTCGCGAGGAACGTTCGAGAATGTTGTGAATAGGGTTATGAGTGAGTAATGTTTTACTGCTGAAAGATTTTATGATAAAAGTTGGGGTAAAAACATTAATATAAATAATTCTAATGAGCAGATAATCAGACAGGTCAGACAGGGATACTTTTTGTCATTTTTCACATTATTTTTCAATGACAATTTGCTCTTTTATAGAATATTAAGCTTTAATAATTACATCATTCGCAAAATAGTACTCAAACGTATTTCACGCAAGGTTGATAATCTCCCCTATCCCCACTCCCCCCCCGAAAAAAAAATTATATATATATATATATTTGACTATGTGAGTCCAAGACTGAAGATCGCACTCGCTGTAAAACTAAAGAGAAAATAGTATTTTTGTTTTCGTTTTCTTCAGGTAAAAATGAAATTCTATAATTGCAAAGATAACGAGGTCAATAGCCCCAATTCAATTTTTTTTAAGCATTACAGTAAATAATTTACATTTTTAAGATAAAAAAAATAGCGTTTGACTCAGCGGAAATGAATAATCGAACACAAAAGATGGGCCGGTAGTTTCAAGCGCAACTGCAAGGGTAAAACTCTCTCCAATCTTGTTCCAATGACCCTTCTCGTCCAGGTGCGCAGAGAAAAATAGGCCCTGGGGTGCAAGGAGACCGGCTAACTACAGCAAGTCCTTTGATGTTTGAGCCACAGGAAAATACAACCATTTATCCATGTTAAAGAGTAATTTCTTCAAACGAGAGATAAAGTTGTACAGAGCCTTGCGATGGGTTTTATCACAATTCGAGCTAGATAATTTCAAACTTTCGGAGTTTCCTCATATTGGGCACCTCGATCAGTTTTACATCAACGAAACATTGTGAGGACATGTCCATTTCGTCCAAAGGTCATTGATCTCAGATCGATCACGTTCTAAAACTGCCAATTGCAATGAAAACTATCAGTTATCAAAAATGCCTACGTGAAACATTTGCTTCAATTTTGGCACAGTAGCGGCAAGGGAAGTTAGTAGATAAAGGATTAAAAGAGATTTGCCGGTCATGGCCGGAAAAATGGTTTACTTCGCCCAATAATATTCTTGCCGTCGCATTATAATTTTGGAGTCCATAAAATGAGCATGGATTTATTAGACTTACTTTTTTTTACCTTTTTTTAAGTCTACTTCAGCCTATAATACAAGGCAGGGAGGAAAACAATCATTGTGTCAGGTGGTAATATAATTTTCATCTATAGGACACTTGATGCATAAGTTCATCAAGGTCGGTCTTCTCTTGGTGGTTGATGGAGGTAGAAACAAAATCACCTCGTTCTGATTTCAAAAAAACAAGGACTTTTGACTCTTCAAGGCTCGCTTCCTCATCGATAGCATCTTAGTTTACTTTATCAGATTCGGAGCGCTGTTGAAAACATAGATACGTGACATAATTAAACAACAAAGTGGAAAATGGAACCCAGTCAAATCCAGAACAAATACAACTCATATCATCTGATCGGTTTACGACGTGAAGTGCCGAGTGGAATTTGTTTAAGCTGACAAAATTTAAATCTCTCTGTTAACAAACAATCTGATTCTGCGGTTATAATCGCGAATTAAAAATTCCCTGAAACTGTTTTTCAGTTGGTTTTGCTGCTTTCTCTCACCATGAAATACCACTAAAATGAAACTGGCTGTATTTTGCCGAGCCATACGATGTTTTTGATACAGCTTTCAGCATTTCCTGGCGAGTCATGCCGTGGATAGATAATATAAATTGAGTCATTTGATAGTTATCAGACTAGGACGCCCACCCCAGCACTTACTTTAAGCGGCTTATAAATGTAAATCACCTATCACAACCTTATTTCACAGAAACTCTCTTTTCCATCGAACTTAGGCGGATGTTAAACCGCCGAGCCCAATCACTTTAATCCTGTCCGCGGTCAAAGCCACTATTCCAATAATAGAAAAACTTAAATCCAAACTAAAACTTGAATATAAAACGATTTTCGCAAGTCTGAGCGGAGCCAAATTCATAGAATAATGCTGTGATGTCTTTTTACTCCTATTGTCTCGATATTGTCAGCAGGTGTACAGAAGGTTGATGCTGAAGAAAACAAAAAGCATAGCCAAAAATGAAAAAACCGAACTCAGTTCAGCAATATGCAACATTATTAGTCGTTCTCGGCCTCTATGAACCAGTAGAGAGAGTTGCTATTATTGTCAACCAAGTATCCCCTATAATTTTTTCCTGCGAAATTAAAGTGACAAAAACACCTGTCGAACTCATCATATATTACACCACAAAATTAAATATTTTCTCCCATGCATGAATTTTTGTCCCTAGCTTTATTGTCAGTATTCAAATTTCGGCTAAGAATTATGAAGCATTTACAGACACATTTATTTTCGATGAAAATGATGCCACTTTCTGTGTTACTCGATATTGTTTTTGTTTTACGTATTTTGAAAATATTCGAATTAATCGCTATGTCTGATGATTTGTAATATAATTTGAAACTGAGAGCGATTTTGCCTCTGCTTGTTAAAAGCCTTATATTTTGTCGTGCCATAGACTGTGCTCGGTTAACGAGTTAAAACTGATGTTTCAAGTCACATTTAGGTCCAGGTTTATCTCTCCAAGATAGACGCCTCGTAAAACAACTAACAGTCACCTCTCCTTCAACTTTCCCCAAAGACGAAGCTTTTTAACAACGCTCCTTACTTAAAACGTCCTAATATTAACAAAACGTTAAGAGTAACATCTTGGCTGACTTGGAAATGCCCTTAACAGTAGTTTCATGGAGTTTACTGATTATTGAAGCCTGCACTTCATTCAGTAAGTTGCTCTTATGTGTTTTTCACTTAACAAAACAATAACTAACAAAGAAACACAAAAGCCCCCAAGCTTAAAGACAAGCAAAATACTTACCGGCAATCTTGAACTGTTAAAGTTACCGTTAAATGTCTCTCGATATATAATAAATGTTATTGTTAGGAAGCAAGGAGTTATGGAGTCGAGTGGACGGTATCAGAGTTTTAGCTAAAAAGCTTTCAAACCGACAGAAGCGCTCTAAACTCTTCAAAATGTAAACATTATCGTGGTTGGGCAGTTGATTTATTCCCTCAGAAGCCAATCTTATCGCCACTATCTGTTAATATTATGGAAATTGACATTACACACGTGAAGTCTGTTATCACCATGGATACAACATAGTATTTGGAAACGAAATCTCCTGGAGTCAAGATATATGGCACTTTAATTTCAACATCATCTACTGTACATCTTTGCTTAAACACGATAAGAAAGGCGTCCAGGCCTTATCCAGACATTTTATCTGCGTATTAAATATTTTCTTTGAAAGGTTCTTGAAAAAACAAAGCCATTGGAGTAGTTCATTTGGAAAATATTATAATAATTTCATTAAGCATTCAACTTGCACATTTTCCATGATTGCGAGAAATAACAAAGTAAATAATTTAGCACAGTGAAACCTACTTTATGTGCTATTTGCGTGCAAGTAATATTCTACTACATAAGACAGCATGTAAATCCTTTTATTTTTTCCAAAACTAATGTTTTGAAAACGAAGAGTACAAATATATAATGCGGGTCGCTCAGCTTCGCTGAGACTGTTTCAACGCCTGCCGGTCATGTAGGTAGCGTCCCAGTTGAATTAACTGGCGTATAATTGCCGCATATTTGACACCCTTGAGCATGCGAACAAACGAATAAAAAAGTGGGCTTTTTGGTTAAACTTGTCACGAAGCAAAGTTAGGAGACACAGTTGTCCCCTCGAGAAGAAAGTGCCATGGCACAATCCATGTTGTTGGAAATCGCCATGTCTCTTATAAACCCCATTACATTCACGTCTGTTATCGAGAATACGTCCGTATGACCACAAGAGGTGATTGAGGATCTTCATCTCTCAACATGATTTATAAATTTGACCTTAAGGCGTCCATTACAAAAGTTACCTGCTCCTAGTCATACAGATCCGACAGGATACGTTGAAGCTAGTTCATCGATTTACCGACAATTTCGCCGCGTTTGATTTTCGAAACTTTACTTCACAAACTTGTAATCTTATCGCGTCCATTACAGAAAAAGAGCCTGATTCCAAAGATCTGATACGTTACAGATTAGCTAAGAAGTGGTTAAAAATCATTTTTGCGTATATTTAATTTTAGTATATACATACTAAGTGATCATGGTGTTTTAAGCAATCTGATTGGTTCGCTATCTCTGGCCTGAATGAACATTATTCATATCCTACCGATTGAATAATGTAGGATCCAAGCAAAAACAAAATGGCCGACGTAAACTCGCGTTTCGCCAGTGTTTCTAAATAGGAAATCCTGAGAATACACAATTTACAAGAAAATGCTTTACCAGAAAATACAAAGAATTAAGGCTATGAAATTTAAAAACACTTACTGACGTTCGACTTTCGAGCAGTTTCAGGACATGTCATTGGTAATCACAGATTTCATCAATCTAAGCAAACCCGGTATTGGCAGAAATGAATGCCACATGATTCATTGGCAGAAGCATCAAGTGCTATTCAACGAAACATCTCCTTTTCGTTTTCCAAGAAAACATTAAGGTTTCCCCAAAGTCCCGTGCACACAGTATAATTTCAGGTTGATCCTTCGCTAACGGCTCTTTCAATTTTCATTTCAAGTGAAAAAGAAAACTTAGACTTTAGATCAAGACTGGTGATTTCAACGCTGTTAAAAGATCATTTTGGTAGATTGTGAGGAGGATTTCCTCGAAAGGTTACCTAGATTTGCCATGTTTGAAGATTCTTTCTCCAACTCATTAATAATTCATCAAGTTAGAACAAAGAAAATTACAACCGTGAAGAAGGTTTGGATACCCGATCTTAATTAGCATAAATTTTGACGACTTTACTTCTCCGTTTACTCCTTAGGTTTTGTTTCGATTTGAGAAGACATATCAAACACCCGAGACAGTGTTTCATCGGCTATCCAAACACCTCGAATTTCGTCAAAAATACTCCGCTGCGTGTCGTGTTTTCAACTCCCTTCTTGGTGTTTGGATATCCCGATGAAATACTGTCTCTCGTGTTTGATATATTACGTCAATAGTTTCGCGCTTGCTTCGTGCCGTTTGCGCGTTTTCCACGCATGAATTGAGAGGTCAATTAAATCGACTTTTAATAGTTTCCTTTTCGTCTGTTGTTGAGATCACTTGGTAAGTATACACTAAAACAAATATTCTTTTCAATCTCGGTGAATAGCGGCACTGTTCACTTCGATTTCAAAGATCAAATAATTGTTAATTGTACTGATCACTTTTATGTATGCCCATTTTCGGGTGTTAACTCACTAGCAGTCCAAGCTACAATTCTGTGAAAGAACTGCAAAAAGGGTTGCAAACCGGATGAAAGTTTTAACATAATTTCCAGTGTGAAGCGAACCGTACTCATGTCAGAAAAGCAAAAAAAAAATAAAAAATAAAAACTCCGCCTTGAACAGCTTACAAATAATAGATCATGTATTGTGCTAGCTTTTTGGCTCTCTTTTCTAGTAGTCTGATGCCCTGAGCAACTCATACGGGTTAAGAAACAGTTTCCCTTAACTTAAAAAGAAACGCAACAAATTAAAGTGGTGACTGCAGCACAATCTGTCGACTAATCTACAAGTGGTCTTCTTCAAGCTTAAAAGAAGGGAAAATATTTGTCATGAATGCCCTCAGGAAGACAAGGTAAACAAGCGAACCGGTGTCCTTTGCACAAAGATAAATGTACATTTATTGTTAAAATCCAAGGGAAGGCAAACGATTAACATGATTAATAATAAAAGTTTCCTCGTGTGATGAAACAGAAAAAGGATGATTTTCTTTTTTTTTTCAAGGAACAGCACTTTCAGTCGACCGTTTTATCTGGACAAGCAGTTCGAAATAAATCTCGGTAGCAAGGAAAGTAATTTTCGTCAAAATATCGTGTTATCCAATACTTGTTATACTGTAAACACCATCCATGCTCACTTAGTTCTCACTGTATTATGGTCATCAATATTATTCTGTTTGTTATTTGGATTCCTGTGTGTGATTGCGCTTTTCAACAAAACGCTTAGCATTGATGACAGTCCTCTTAACAGTCTTTTTTTTTTTTGGCGTAAACTAAAAGTGCTGACGTGTTGACGTTAGGCCTTGGTTAGGGCTTCATATTGACGTTATCCAAAGAAAAGCTGACCCCGAGATCGCATGGCTGCATATCCTAGTTCACTAACAACATCCCTATAGAGGAAATTCCTGGCTACGTACATTTATTTAATAACACTTCATTTTACCTATTTATAACTTCTATTATTACAAACTTCAGTGCTGCATATAAACCAGTGTAAATAAGTTCGAGATTTTCCAAAGATGAAATCGACTGCGTTGTGACTCACTCTCTCATATACATGCAGCACAGATGGTTAGATAAATTTGGCCAGCACATGTTTAAATGAATCCACACATGAGAGATGAAGATCGGCGGGTCATAGTCTCTCTGTTTGATACATTTGTTTCAGTTTTCATAGTAAATCAAAACAGCCTTCTGATAGATTCTTTGGTTTCTGCGAAGGATCAACTTCTTATCTCTCCAAACAATGCCACGGTATCAACAAGCAGGAAAGTGATGCCAATGATGGGAATCACACAGTTTGAGAAAGAGATGCCGTGATCGCAAATATGCGAAGCTTAATTCTTAGGCTGAACTCACAATTACATAACGTCTGCAAGTCAATATATAGAAGTATTTTCTTTCTATTGGCACGAGACTTACTTGACTTTAATGAGTTAGCGACGCAAAGTATTACCTTCCTGTATGATGTCGTTTAGCGAAATTCTTTAACATAGAATGAAATAAGTTCAAATGCTTAAGACATAAAAAATAGTTAACTAGTTCTTCCGAGAATAAGAAAAAATGAAGCTGGTGTCAACTGAACGTTTCTAATACTATTGTATTGACAACCTTCAATCGCTTATTTAATATCAGTTTTCGCAATGTATCATCTTCAGTCTATACCAAAATATATTTGTTAAGCAAAACCATTATGGTATAATCAGAGTTATCGGCCATATTGAGCCGTGAATATATTTCACTGAGTGTTACATGCAGTTAAGTTGCTTATCGCCAAACCAGCGGTATACGATGAAAGTAACTCATTTACTTGGCAAACTTACCCTTCCAAACGCAAGGCTCTCACAGAAGATTTCGTCGATTGCAGCCAATCATTCACAATGTACTGTGCGTAAAGCAAACGATTTGGATGACTGCGAGATTACAGCTGGCATTAACGTCGCAATCTTCATGCCAAGGCGAGAGAGAAGACGTGTTTTATTGCCTAATAAAATACCGATGAACGTGTGCTTCACAGCGTATTTTTATTAACGTGTCATCTTCCCTTGGGTTGGACACACCTCGTCTGGCATTTCCGAACATTCCCCACGCCCCTTGAAATCTCCCATATCACTTTAAATGTTTATTTTTCGGTAACTAAGTGATCAAAAGAGCCTTATTCAACCCTCCCTTTTACGGATCTAAACGTACTTCCAACTTTACAGAAGATTTAACTGTAATCCAGATTGCAGTGAAACTGTAAGTAGATAGCCTCGAACACGATGAAAAAACATGAAAATGTCCTTGTTGATTAACCTTTCACCCGATTTGGCAAAAAACAACCGACTCTGTAACTAACGGGATTTTCCAAAATCTCGACTAGGTGTATCAGGAGAAGGAGCTTGGGAAAGAAATATGTACTGGCAATGTAATTTTTCTTTAGTTACAAGTATAGGAAAAACAGCTTTATGGCTGGGAATAAGAGGCATGATCATACGGACAAAACGCTTTGAAAATAGCCAAAGTTCTCCAATGGAACTTGTTAAAAAATAACTTAACTTTTAATAAAGCGTTCCTTTTTCCACTGTAAGTATCAACAAAATTCCCACACGAACTGATCTGCTTTAATCAGTCACCAAGCCCTTGAATTGAAAGAGTTCAATTGGTAATGAAGTTATAAACACGTAAAATATTGTTAATCCGCTTAGAGTAACCTTTAAATCCTTACGTCAAAGACAAAATGTCTCAATTTCTTCATATGAACTGATTGACATACAGTTATTTGCTATACAAGCTGTGTCTCTGCTGGCCTATAGATAACATGGTCTATTGGAAGGTCGATGGTTTCTCGCCTCACAACTCCAAAATGTAAGGGGATATTTGCTACGTTTTAATCTTGGGAATTTTAATCCCTTTTAAAGGATTAAGCAACAGCAACTTATACTTTTCTCGATGAATGACTGTGAGTTGAGTTTTCATGGCGTGTTATGTATTTGTAATTGCAGTTCTCAGTGAATGAACATAACAAGGAAATGCGAGTGTTTAGTAAAATCCAATAACAAATATTAATATTTAAAAAGAATACATTAATAGTTGTGTAGGTGAAAATTATTTTCAGTAGCTTAAAAGCAAGCAGTTATATTGAACAGTTTTCACTAATCTTCTGCTTTCAAATAGTGCACATCAGTATGTAATGACAGAGATAACAGGGTACAATAATAGCAATTCATAGTACAATGATAACAATTCATTCAATGAAGAGCTTGCACTATCTGCTTGGTACTTGTTACTTGAATTTTATTCATTTTGTGTATGTCCCATGTATAATTTTTTATATATATTTTGATAAACATCTGCGCAGTATTCGGTAGCCAAACAATTTGACTGCAGATGATCCAAAGTATCTTGTGTAGAGATGGTAGCTACTGCCCTTCGAATACACTCTGGTTTTCGTCACCACGTTATTTCTACAGTGAATGGGTTTAATTATATGAATCATTTTTAACGTTGCAATGATGAATGATGGTAACCAGTCACATACTTAGCATAAACTATACTTTAAAAATAGTTAAACATCTGATATGCTGAAAAGCGATATCTGAAGACAGGCAAAGGTCACATGGAAATGATATTCCAAAACGCATACCGAATTTCCTGAAAAAATGCCTCTTTTTTTTTTTTTTTTAAATTTCCTCCTCTTTGTTCCTTTCCAAATTTAATAAACTACTGAATTAGGTTTGACAGTGTTTTTTCTAGTGTTAAAATTCCTCTTTCACTTCCTTAATGCATCATGTTTCCGACTGACGTCCAGTCCGAGGAGTGGGTGTTTGTTGTGTATGCAATTTCATGACGCTCATATGGGGGCGGCTATTTCAAACAGTTGATGCCCCCAAATACTCCAGGTTCGACTTGATATACAGCGAGGCTTAAATGTAGAGGACACGTTTATCAGAAAGCTTGTTATAATTACCCTGAATCTTTTTCAATCCACCAATTTGACTTAATGCATTGCAACCCTTCATTCAATCATTTTGCCCGATCGATAGTCTTTGTTAATAATTTTAGGCTTGAAAGCAATTTTATCAAGTTTTCTTTATACATAGCTGACTTTCCAAGGTCAAGATATAAGATAGTAAAAAGAAATTAATGAATCACAGATGACGATGTAAGGAATGGGAAAAGATCTTCACAAAGGGGAAGCCTCAGGGAAGACTGGGTGTCAAAATTGCAACCATTATTTCTCCTTCGATCGGGCAGAAAGATATATAATTTTGGTCAATTTGTGAAACAATTATATTTTTTCGCCTGTAATATAGCTAACTGATTTAGTTTTAACTTCAGTGGAGAACGCCAAGAACTGAGTCTTTTAAAGGGGCTCAGCCACGGTATTTTGAGTTATTTTGGCCGCAAACAAAATTACCTTTAAATGGTAGGAAACCTGAAAATAACGGTTTGATAAGATAAAATAACACTAAAGACATAATGATAAACCATAAAGGAACAAGGATGGCTAAGGATGGAGAAGATTAACACGGATTACAAACGACGAATTTGAAAAATTGAGGCTAAACTTTTCAATACGTGCAAACCGTGACTGAGCTCCTTTAAAATAATTTGCTCAAATTCTCCACTGTTCTTCCTTTGTAAACCCAATTTAGTGTTATGTGGTAATCTTGTGTTGCATTTTAAGATATTTTTTAGTTTACCAAAAAAATGACTTTTACACGTTAGTGTTAATTATGGTTTACCTCTTGGTTTTCATTCGCAATACGGGTCCTGAATAAAAATTCTTAGAAAAAACCGGACCATGCAAGTTTTGTTTTTCTTTTTCAAATTTGCCTCGCGTATATGATGTTAATGTTAGAAAACAAAACTGCAGGTATAGCAGGTGACACATATTGGCAAATGATTAAAACGTAACAAACCGACTGAACTTAAACTCCCTTTTTATTGTCCGCCTATGACGAGCATCTAACAAACACAAATTCGCTATAATGCACAACACGAAGAGTATAGCATTTTCGGTTTTCAAATGAAAACAGAATTCCTAGATAGAGTTTTGTAACAATTTGATATAAATAAAGCTTCACTGAAACCTAGGATAAGGGTTATACACATTCGTGTGAAAATGTCTGAAAAGTGTGAAAATCTTGTTCACTACTGTGTTCCTCTCGCTCGTCGAAAATATTCGCCCACTCACAATCAATTGTATTAAATCCCTGAATCTTTCCAGTCATTTTATTTCCAATTAAATCAGTGTAACTGTCCGAGGTTACAATGTAGCGCTGAGTGGACTGAAGAACACGTTTCCTTTGATCATGTCTTGCCGGGTCTAGCCGGCGGTCAGTTAACGAGTCCTGACATCAGAAATATCGCACTTCCATTTAGAGTTATTTACTTCCCCAATCTGCACCGCCATCATGCCAGCTATTGGCGGCTTATTTCACGAGTGTAAATTTCTAAAACAGAACGCCGCTGTTTTGCGTGCAAATGTACGCTGAATCGTATTTTCTGACAACGAGAAATAAACAGCCAGTGGGAATAACAGTAATGGCCCATACATTTAAAATTTTGATTAAAAAATAAATCTGCCTGCAGCTAACAATTTGCACTTTGTCGCCAAATGAAAAAAGTGCCGCTCGATGTTGATTCAGCTGAGTTTCCTGTTTTGATGCAAAATAACCAATAAAAGGTTTTGTTCAATGAAATAGAAAGGTTCCACAAGAATATATTCTTTATGTGCACCGATGTTTTTTGGTGTGTAGTCAATGTATCAAGAAATATCTAAGCCTTTGAATAATGTTTTGTTCTTGTCAATTCTACAAAGATATATTCCGCCCTCCCTTGGTCACAATGACAAAGCATTGTTCTTTTTTGTTTCCTTTGGTACAGACTAAGGGTTAATCTAACGATGCTGAGTACTTCCCTCGGTTAGTTTCATAAAGTTAGCGGCAAAACATACAATTGACAGAGGATTAACTTTCACGGTGCTGAATTTTGTGAATTCTAAGCAGAACAAAATCAAAAGTATTTGTTCAGTATAGTATATGCTTTTAAAGAGTAGTTCTAACAAACGGAGAAAAATCATTGTGTATCAATTGTGAATCTCCTATTAACACTGAATGTTAAAGCAGGCAGGCACCATTTAGTTTAACTGACATTCTCTGGCTTAAAATCACAGTTTTTGTCATAAGTTTACACCAAATCACGCCGAGATTTAGCCGGTGAGTGTAAATCAGAATGACTAGCGACATGTTCTGTTTTTTGTGTATTTCTGGACATTATTTCAGGCGACAAAACGGAGAACCTTTTCATTATATAGTAAGTTATTTAAATCTGGAATTCAAAAACAACAAACTCTTACCACGAAGTGTTCCGCTCGCTTTCAGCAGGAATTCATAAAATAAGTTTTACGGGCAACTTTGAATAATAATAAGGTTGATAAAGCATTAACGCAACGACCATAAGAAAGCATTAATTGCACTAAAATCACTTCCAAAAGCGATAATTGCTTTTGGAGATGTTTTCTAATGAAAGAAGCCTGGGTTATATTGTGTGCTGTGAATTAAGTCCTTAAAGCTCTTGAAGAAAGAAATCTCAACAGGAACTGATTTATTTAAGCCATTATCTTCTTGTCCCAGGCCTAATTCTTTCCCTTTCTTGTTAAATGATCTTATTGTATGCTTACGTTCTCACTACTTGATTACGCGGAAATCATGTGTTCATTTGAGAAGAACTGGTCAATTTATTGGAAACAACAAGAAATGCTGTGTTCTCACCCGAGGCATCTTGGGATTCAACGGGACAGCGTTGCTTTTGTAGTGTATATTTTGTCCAATTTAAGTCATCATTTTTAATTTCACAGCTAAAATATGTCAGTTTTCTACAGAGGGGAGACATGTTACTTTCCAAGGGAAAATCTTCCTTACACCTGTACAAAAAAAGTACAATTTTTGTTTTCGATTTTCTCCTTAGCATATTTACAAATACAACATATAACAAATATAACATCTTGCAGAGAAGAAAAAATCATTGTAATAATAAATTTATAAAACTTTGTTTTCATCCAAATAATCAAGTATAATTTCTTCATTAGCAAAGTTTTGTAAGGCCGAATAAGCCAAGAATCAACCTAAGCCGTATGAAGAAAATAGTGCAGTAAAGCAACACTCCTCAATGCAAGTGGCAGTGTTTAAATGTAAATTAAAATGATTCTTGCTATGTTTGACTTGTAGGACTGTGTTTACTCTAATGCCAGGACTTTTCTTCATTAAACCAACACATTAAACTAACACATTTACAATTTATGCATAAGTTTTTACGTCCCACGTAAAATTCTACAGGATGAAAAACGTCCCATGTTATAGTTAAGGCATTCTAAAGGCTTGATAGTTTCCAGTGAACATTTGAGCATTAATGGCAAAAATAAAGTTACCAAAAAAACCTCATAGCATGTTAATATCTTGAATAAAGGTAAGAAGATCTTATCGAGACTTAAACTCTCAAGCTGACCACGCTAGAGAATATTATATTTGAAGCTACCCATATTTTAACAAAAACGGATGTTTCGTGTCAGTTCAAAACACAATAAGACACGCTTTTAAGCATTCTTACGAGGTTTGACATTAACTTTCTCGTGAATGCTTAAGAATTGATGATGATCCTCGATTTTTCCCTTCGATTTATGGCCCACGCACTTCGGGCTTTGGCCTTAAATCGATTTGGAAAAAACTCAGTCCGTAACTTGCAGTACGGACCTCAGACTGGGTAAGTAAAGGGTATCTGTCTTCACCTCAGTACAAGTGACTATAGGTTTTACGTCCTCTGTTAAAAATCTGACAAGGTCCAGCGAAGGCAAGACATCCAGCCGGTATTTGAGAACTGTCTCATCTGATGGCATGATTGGTAGTGTATTTTGGAAGGAGCAATCGCTAACACCAGAAAATTACAAACGCAGGAGGGGTGAGAGATTCCGGATGTGAAGATTGCAAACAAAGAGCTTGAGGGAAACACGGACGTTAAATCAATTTAAACTGTGCGTTGATCTTCGATTTTGAGTTTATAACTAGCACGTGACTCATCATGGGAAAGACAGAGCTCACCTGACATCAAAATTTTGCTGCCTGAAAAATCTTCTTGACAAACAAAAGCAATGCCGATTATCCATTATCCATTCGAGAATCTCTACAGTTATGGTAAAAAGTGGAATAT